AAGAAACCTGTCAAAAGATTAAATTGGATATGTAAGAAATTTATAATTGCTAAAAAATAATTTCATCACGAATTCACAAAAATGACAATTTATAAACTATATTTCATTACGTTTGATCTTGATCTTTGGCGTCATGTTATTTAATGTAAGTGGGCGTAATGACGGGGCATCTAAATGTTAGTTGGTAGAGCATCGGAATCGCAATCAAACAGTTGCGTGTTCAGTACTAACCCAGACCCTTGAATTCGTAATCTAGTTGTCGATTTAGGTATTTGTATCCATTTTTAACAAATTACAAACTACGTCATACTGCTTAACCTTTGTGTGACGCTCAGATGTGACGCTAGCAACAAAAACACTGTAGTTTCGAAAAGTTTTAAAAACTAACCTCATTTTGAAAAAGCTCGGGTATATCATTAATGAGCGTAAAACCACAATATACATACTAAAGTAGCCACAATCGAATAAATATATATGTAGCCATGTTATGGAACTGACCATTTATTTTTTTTTAATTATTAAAATATTTTACTTTTTTTGCTGTAAAGTGAAAAGCATTTTTAAAGAAATTTTAAGACCGTCAAATCCTTAAAATAAATTGCATTGCTCTGATTTATAAAAACACGCATTATATCCATTACATTAGCTAAAAAACTAAATTACTTTAATTATCCCGGTTCTTAAGACAAAATTAACCCCCACCTAAAATTTAATGGTCATTCTCTTTTTAAGTGAAGTCGTGTGCACGTCACAAACGATCACTACGGCAACTCCTCACCAGTTGGGACTTATTGTTATCATAAACATTCCTATGATTCGCTTATCAAGCATAACAGCGCTAAAAAAATTCTTTCACTGAAATTTTGCAAATCTATCCCTAAAGCCATCATTTTTGTTTCTAATATGGTTTAACTTTGCCTTGCATAATTCAGCGCCTGACCGAGATTTCCGCTAAGTTCGGGCAATTTCGTTTTTCGCTATTTTTCAGACATGTATGTTGGTGAAAACGCCACGACGTGCTTTCACTCAGCTAACGCTACGATGTACTTTAATTGAGCTACCTAGAATACAAATAACTCACTCTCGTTGACGGAACGAGATTTTTACCGCCCATCCGACATACTGGCTCTTTATAGGGAATTCCTCCTCAGTTTATTCCATCAAACCTAAATCGCACAGGGTGCTCTCTAAGTAATAACGAATCCTTTCTTGTTTAAAAACAGATTTTTGTCATATTGTTTGCTTTATTCTGTAATAGTAATTTTTTAGGATTTTACAGAACTTTGAATACAGTAATTTTAATTAATTTTACGTCCACCAGTGAAAGTCGGAGTTATTCAGATCGTATATGAAAGAGACTGAGATGTTCCAAATAGTTCATCAAAATTGTACCCAATCACTGCAAGTAAAAAAAAAATTCTTTATCTTTCCTAGTGCGAATTAAGTAAAATATTCACATTTCGGGCTAAAGATATTGCAGGGAAAAGATCTCAGGTCATGGTTTCATACTGAATTTGAAAAACGTCCAGCCTGTGAGGTCCTTGTCGAGCAAATGCTGGATGTTATTCAATGAGCTTCATAAATTTAGCAATAAATCAATACAAATTTTGGATTATGTTTATCACATAGATTTGTTAATGGAAATAGTGTAAAGAGAAAGAAGAATAAATAATTTCGTTAATTCTGGATCAGATGTTGCACCTTTCATTTGTTGCTCGTAAAAATAATCTCAGACAAAAGATTATCGGCTAAACAGATTATCATCTTTGAGTATCGTATGGATGTGTAATTTCTTCACATGCCTCAGCCAATCATCATTTGAGGTATTTGAAATTATCAGCAGCGATTGGGACGAATATTTAACAGCGATTATATCTGAACTTGCTGACCTTGTTGCCCTATATATTTTCTGTGAAAACTCTTCATTATACGCATACATGAAATAAGTGTACCTCGAATCGACAGTTCAGTCAAATATGAAGGCTCAAATATTCCACATTACATCACTTCCCGTGGCTTAGGTTGTTGCCCTTGACAATAGTAAAAGCAACAAATCCCATAAGGCGGGTTAAGGGGGAAAAAATCATATCACAAACTGACCAGTCGGGTAACAGAATTTTCAAGAGAGCAACCAGTGATTCTGGCTTGCCAGTTTTAGAAAAGGAACATTCGAAACAGTCCATATGCAACATATGCAGTGTCGGATTTAGACAAAGCGAGGCCCTAAGCTATGGGAAGCTATAGAGGCCATATTTGGTATAAAATAAATTTGAGGGACCCCTTCAGACTGAGTTCAGACTTTAGGGCCCTAAGCTGTAGCTTGTTTAGCTTATGCCTAAATCTGGTACTGACCATATGTACCTACTTATAAGTTGAATCCAAATGCAAACAAAATAAACACTAATGTGATTACCCATAATGCACCTGCAAATCAGGTCTATGCTGTTTATAGTACTAATTATTCCTAACAAAATGTATAGACCCAGATCTACGGGCGCAAATTATAAAAATACATTGAAAAGCATGACTTACGATGTTAATTCAATTTCAAATGGAAAAAATAGATATTGATTCGGACTTCCTATTAAATCTATTACAGTCCAATCACTGAAATTAGTTCGCAGTCAAGAGTCGGTCATTCAATAATTAACCGATAATTTAATTTAAAGAAATGCTGAACTAAATTTTTAATAACAAATACAAGTCTTAATAGGCAGTGAACTTACAAATCTTTCACTTCTCGTGAACTAATTTCTTTCTTAAATTTACTGATGATTAGAAAACGTTAGTACTGGCTATGAAATTGTTTAGTGCATCTTTACGTAAAGAAAACTAATCGGCATCATTTTATTGTGTTATAACATTTAAATGTCAACAATGGTAACGCCTTTAAGGCCATGACAATTAAACTACGAAATGAATGATATTGTCTTATATTTATTGGAAATAAACATAGATTTTTAATTCAATATATTTTAACTTTACAATGTTATTCGGCAACAAAAAACTGTGGTTATTGTTTGAATAATTCTGCCTACGGAAATATATAACTTTTATTATATCCTGAAATAGCCTACTCCAGATGAATCTAGTTCCAACTTAGCACGAATAGTGATATTCATATGGCAACATGCTTAAATCTTTGGTATTTATGCTTAGATTGCTGTCATGTTGTTGCAATTGTTAAATTTTTATGAAAATATCCTCATAATAAGAACGCCATGGAATGTTGATATTTTGAGTTCGATACCTCTTATTTACACACGCGCGCTCTGGTGTGCGTGTATATGCGTGCATTATTGATAACAACACACAATACAAATTGGATAGTTATTTAATTATAAAATTTTTGCCTCAATTTAAGACAGTGACGAGTTCGCTTAGAATAAAATACCAACAGAATCTGCCGTTACTTTGAGATATATTGGTAAAAAGTCGATAGCCCTAGCGAAATCAAGCAGGGAGAGTCGAAATGGTACTTGGTCTTTCACTTTATTGAATGAAGAAATCGTTGGCGATTTATGCTTTTTTCGGAATAGTTGACTGTGACAAGAAAAACATACTGTACTTAGTCAGGAAGCTTCTTAAGCTTACAGAGTAAAATAATCAGAAGAAATAATAATATATAATAAAAATTTCGATTTACGTGTATTTCTCAAAGTTTACAGTTTCTATTATTTTTTGATGTCAGCTTAATAGGTTTGTGTACTTTGGCGCTTTACGAAACAGTCACATAGAGATGTTATTTTGGGCAGAGTAAAATGCCTTGTGCAAGGAGACAACATGGTAGCATCCGGGTTGATCAGATGGTAGATGAAGAATCAATACCGCTTCCGTCTTGAGTTCGAAACGCTCGCAACGGTGCCTAAAACATCCAATAAATGTATGAGATGGAAAAAAGATGGACAAAAGATTGGTGCGAATGCAATCATCATACTCGTCTTATATCGTTCCTGTAAGATTTTTTTCAAGGAAAACTATCAACTATTATGCAAAAATCCACAAGAATCAAAACTATTTAAATATACATCGAATGAGATGTCACAAAGTACCGTAAACCAACATACCTATTTAATTAAGCAAGACATCAAGTGAGTTACAATATTGAAAATAAATTTAGAATTGAAAACATTTGAATTAATGTAACCAGCCCCTACCGCAAAACAAAGTTGCATTATGAAGTTGATCAGGTAATTATATAATCCATTCCTCGTATAACATCCTTTCAAATTGTAGCTCCACTTGATGTTTGGAAAAAGAGTTATCGGTTGGTTTCAGAACATTATTAAAAATTCTCCTGCAATGGACAATTTTAATGGTCCTTTTCCAAAACAGAATGATATCGTGGGTCGTGATTACCTTGACATCAGATGTCGGATCCATGTTGGATTTGAAACAAACAATTCAAAATTTGTGTAGCGATTGTAAGAGAAGCGACTGAAGGAGGTTGATTCCTTTATTTTTAAATTGAGAGCAAATGGTCAAAAGGCTCGGTGGAATCTTTTCAGCATGGTACAAGTAGCCACTTTGACAATAAGAGCATGAGTTGGTATCCCTTTTAGCGAACAAATACTATACGAAAAGCAATTCATCCTTTGATGTAGGATTTAAGGGCGACTTTTAATATACATTCTTAGATCAACCTGACTAAGTTCCCCTTTCTGAGACCCAGCAAAACTGACGTTGATTCAGTTCTACCTGGGACGGTGACAGCGAAACTTAGGTAAGTCTGGAACGGAACAATATGTAGCTGAACCAAAGATAATCTACTGCAAATAAAATAAAAGAATAGCAGGACGCTAACTTTTTCTTCAGAGATTCGTAATTTATATTCACTGATGACAGCGCAATCCATACTTAAACTGGTTCTTCTGATGCAGAAACTTTCATGTTCTTTCATGTCCTTTATTAATATTGTGGAAAAACCTGTCCAGTATGATAGGGTTATGATGATTTATGCATGTCATTTGTGTCATGATATATGTATTCCTTAACAAACCGCTTCGGTGGCCTAGTGGTTAGAGTGTCCGCCTCGGATGCGGGAGGTCGTGAGTTCGATCCCTGGCCGAGTCATACCAAAGACTAAAAATGGTACACAGCTGCATCGTTTGGCGCTCAGCATTCAGGGTTTAGTGTTAGGACTGGTCGGCCTGGGGTCAGGATAATGCGACTGCAGCATGATGCCCCAGTGCTAGACATCACTATAAACTGCCACAATGCAGACATCATATCGATATGACTAAAAATTGTTAAAGCTACGTTAAAAATCCAAATAACACACACACAAACACACACACACTATTCCTTATCATGTACATATTCTCCTTTGTTCTTCTGCCGAAGTCCATTTGCTATTTAATATTCTTTTTTCATCATCCAATTCCAAATGTATCCGGAACCCTGGTAGTAGAGTGGTCAAAATCAGTCTCCTTTGGCGATCACTGCCATCTCACCTCTATCCGCCAAGGTTCGATTCACATGCTCGGCCAATGTTGGCATGTGAAAAGGCTTTCGTGGGTCATTCATCCACTAGTTATACTGGCCGCCATCAATAATGGCGTTAAAACAAAAAAGACAACAAGGGATTTATACCCGCTCTTCTGGTGCAGTAAAAAGTAGGTTAATAGCTAGTAATATAATATTATCAGGTTTGGATTTGTTACTGTTCTAGGTTAAATCCTTTTATCCCCATGTATTCATCATCGCATCACATTCGTACACATACGAGATCACACCAGAAATATTACTATAAGGCCCAAAGGCCAGGGGAAAGTCATGTGGGATAGAAGACTTCAGCCTAGCTCAGTAACCAATCGAAATCGATATAATCATACTACTTGTATCATAAACTCCATCGACGTGACAAGTACTCACGTGAATACATATGTATGTATGTATATATATATATGAAGACTTTTGTGAATGCATGCGCGCGCAAAGAATTATACAGAGATATACACGAAGACATGCGTGAATATACATTGCTTGCATCAACGCCCTAATATTACTGGACTTATATTACACGCATAGTCTGTGCAGCCGTTGCTAGGCACTGTGTCGGCAGACCGATCGATGCCTGTCCAGATTCAGCATATCTATGTATTAATTACTAGTGGTACAGTACCGGATCATCTATAAAATTAAATTACATCAATAATTTTTTGACAACCAAGAACTAGACTATTCTGTATAAATTATTATTTATAAACCGGAATTGCACACGTCTTTTCTTTATACAAGAGCAGGACAATTGATATCGTCAGTTTGAGAAACTACACGAGATGTTGCTTGTGGAAGTGCTATCAATATTTAAGGTCTAGATTTATTATTTCAGGACCATGTTCCCTTACCTTAACATGGGAATATGTAATTCGTTTAAATGCACCGTACATTTTTAGCAACGAAGCACACAAGATGTATCAGAAATATTTTAATAAATTTATAATGCTAGCGCTTTTCTTAGAAGCTAAATGACAATAAATCTGTCAAGAGTGTAACAAATATCCAGAAAGGTTATTGTTTGATATTATACAAGAAAATATCAAGTCGCTGACGTCAGTAAGAGACCCTATCGACGGAATTAGTGAATACATAAACGTGCAAGGTCCGGTCGTGTTCAAGTTGGCGTAATACTCAGTGATGGGTCATTTGAGCTCATTTGGTTTGAAACCGACTTGAAGGAAATTCTCTCCAGAATTGTTTTGGGAATATTATGATGATTCTAAAACTAACAAGCCTTTTTATTTGCCTGATTTAAAAATTTTAATGACTATAACACAAAAATATAACTGGAGACTTGATGGATTCCATGACATTTTGAATATATCATTGAATTATAACATCATTTTTCATCTACGAGAGAGAGATAGAGAGAGAGAGAAACATCAAAAACATCAAGAAGGAGAAATGAGTTCTACTGGTAATTGTGTAAAAGATATATTCGGCAACATAGGTATGTGAAACGTGCAGACACAGCAAATCTTAACACTTCAAAGAAACAAATGAAGGACGTGTATCGTTGAAGAAAGTGAGTTCGTTCCTAATGGAATCACTAACTTACCCATATGGGCATGATAATATCCCACCATCAACCTTTTCTGGATATTCTGTTTTCTTTGTCTGCGGGGACAACTTGCAATTCCTGTCTGTACTTTTCATTGCAAGTAGTAGCTTGTTTTTGTCAGTCTGGTCCCAGGTTGTACATGCATTAATGGGCTATATCCGATCAACACATCGTTGTCCGCCTACCCACTCTCACGGTGCACACTGATACCATAATCAAATTAGTTTCTGAGTCGGTATAATGAGGTGAGACATTTGCTGCTTGCAAACACTTTCAATATCTTCATGCTTTCATAGATGCCTATAAACGCATTGAAGATATGATATAGTCACAGCCATATGCATGGGGAGATCTCACAAATGGCTTTAAAAAAACACTTACACCAATGCTCAAACCCACGCGTTACAATGAGGAAGTAGTTTTAAAGAAAACACCGGTATATTGGGTTTAGTTGCCAGTATAGACCAAGCTATTGACGAGTTTGAGAGATTCCAGAAAAATACAAGGGAACTTAATAAAGGCATCAGAGAGGAAATTGAGATTCTTTAACGACCTGGAAGATACGTGTTCAAGTCAATGTTAAGTACCGATCGAAAACTAATGTGAACCATCCCGTCGGTATAGCTTTAAAAAAAAAATCAATAAATCACCATCAAATATAAACGAAACGTCAGCCAAATGAGTATTCCTGGAAATTACTGGGTTTAAAAAAGCTCTTTAACCGCTGTTTGATTTTTACAATAGAAATCTTAAAGCTGTTGAAGATAGAGTCTTGAATCGATACATCTACCAAACTAATTGCATGCACACAGGAAGATAGAAATCGAATTTCAAAGAGGACAAGAATATAAAATTACGTTGTGCAGCAACAATCAAAGACACCATTGATTGACTTGAAGTAGCCTTGGTGGACTTTGTGGGTCGATTGGTAACACTCTTGGGGTCATTTCGCGCTGTTGAGTCAGAAGTCTTGCCAGATGTTATTCACGAAAGACATCATGGATCCGAAAATGTTTCACGTTGCTGTAGTAATTTATTATTTAAATCGATGATGTGTATAATATCAATAATAAATTCTAAGCCGATTCTTCGCGAAATCAACGTTGCAATGCAGCGTGTTCTTACAAACTCAAAACCGAGTATCAATTCGAAGAGATCGCACTAGCGTCATTGAATGTTTATCGCAGTTGGCCTATATTCGACAGCGACCGTTTGGTTCATTCTCCGTAAATAACTCGCTGGTGTTTCCGAAATGAGCGGTCCAGAATGTATGCTTAATGTTGGCGGTCTATCCATACGCATGTACAAGCTGGATTCAATCAACGAAGAGATATGATAGAGGATTGCCTTGGTGACGTCATTAGCGAATCTTACGAAGACCCAATTGCGACATCGCAAGCTTTGCAAGGTTATGTATTATTTAGGTTTGACGCTCCGGAGGCTTCGAGAGATCTGATATCAAGTACTGCTACGGCGTTGTGTATCTTTCATGCAGCAATATTCGGCTGACAAACCTTCGGGGGTGGGGAATAACATTGACAATGCAACTATTCATTAAAAATCTACCTCTTATTTAATAAAATTACAATAGTACGCACACATTAAAACCTGGTTACTTTGTCAAGGCGAATGGAAAATGTTTACATGACATATTACAGAAATGACCTTGTGATGTTGCACGCGGATTGTTGACAGGCCCACAAAAAGTGCTCGCTGCTCTGACCTAACCCGCAAAGTAATGGGCAGTGCGAGTCATTGAGAGCATCAAAAACGTTGTTGCAGATAGGTTATTAATCTAAAGTTGCATGTGGTTCATTCAGTTCCATATCGACTATAACAATTAGTGACTCGAGCACCAAAACAGTTAGGCTTCTATTGACAGCAACAATGCAGTTCCTTTTAGTACGATCGTCTATGAACCAGCTCAACGAACAGTTTTATAATTTAAGAGGCTGAAAAATATTTAGCAAACCTGTATAACAAAACGTACACCTTTGAGAAAAAGTGAACCCTCTTTTTGAACTTCAGTAGCTTGTAGAATTTTTACCTTAATTGTGTATCCGATATTGATTTCTATATTTTCACGTAACATTTTTATGTCTGAGTAACACATATTTTGTTAATGAGCGTTAGCACACACATATGGTTTTCTTTGTATTTGACAGTATATGTTTGTTTATCTATGAGATATAGAGTGAGTGCATGTATGTATGTATGTGTATATATATATATATATATATATATATATATATATATATATATATATATATATATATATATATATATATATATATATGTATGTATGTATGTATATAATTTATGAATAAACACATAAAAACAGTTTATTGATATTTTATTATGTATAATGCTAATTTTTAAATAATAATAATAATAATAATGTATTATACCTTGACATATTATTTACAAATATTCAATATTTATTCAGTACTCAAATCATATAATAAAATATTATGGCGTGCATAATACTTAATATCATAAAATAAATGTGTTTTATAAATAATTAATCATAATTCATTAAGAAATAATTTGAAAATGCTACTTTATTTTTGAAGAATTAGTACATTTATTTAAATGATATTGGTTTATACTTTCACTGGTTAGATTATTCTGTAAATTAGAATAATATACAATTATTCTTAACTAATTGTAAACAGGGGACATAATTTAAAAGGTTTTGATTAATGACTGTCGCATAGAGGCTTGAAATTTAGACCTTTTTCTGTGAAGTGTTGTTAAAGACAATCTGCAAAATCATAATTTTTAAAATGTTGAAATATCATTATAAACATCATTATAAAAATGCTGAACCGAGACCATAATATTGTCACAGACATACAAATTTCCCATTACAATGTTCGTACTTTGTAATCGATTTTTTGTTTTGGCCTTGGACATCTAGAGCTGTTTAAGCAGTCCTCTCAAAGAACGTGTAAGAGAAGCCGCCGCGAATTCCAAATTGTGGGAGTATTGCTCTAATCATCTCCGACAC